TCACACAGAAAGCCATTTTTTAGGGTTTTGGTCAAAGCAAACTGATATTTTTTTGCAAAAATAATGGGAGCCTTCAAACAACCGAACACCTACTTGCCCATAAATTTGGTCCGAAATCAACATTTCTTGAAATTTGTGAAATTTTGTTCGAAAATGACACTTTTGTATGGAAAAGGTCGAAATAGTTATATTTTAAGGTCAAAAATGCTACGAAAAAAAGGGTCTTTTGAAATTTTGGTTAAACATTAAGTGGGAGGTAAACTAAATTGCTGCGGAGCGGAAAAGTTTGGATTACGTATGTAATTCGTTTTATTTTGGCTAGTAAAACCAATACTTTTCCATACAAACAAAGTTTGCGGAAAAGTAAAATCGATTTCCATACAATGTTTCTGTTCCAGGTAACCATGAAATGCACAACATTGAACTTGCATTTATATCATTGATTAGATGGGTAAAAGCTTTCCTTCATCCTCTATCCATTCTTCCCGACTGACTTTGAAGGCCAACCACACTGGTTAGCAATCAGATGATATCGTTCCAAATAATTATAATATTAGGATTCATGCATTGAAATTTCATTGAATAATGACTACAACGTTACCTTGAATTCAACACCAAGAATATTTTTCAAACTCTTACTTGTTTATGAATTGTATGCTAGATTGTATGCTTTCTGGTGCAAAACTTTGATTTTTTATGATTATGTGTCATTAAATTGATTTTATCTGCTGATCAGTGATAGTCGTATTTCATGTTTCGACCATCAATCGGAATGCAGGTTACCACTCTTCGTTCAAGTGGTACAACAACATTTGTTGACTTCCATTGACGTAGCGTCCAGAACAGACGAAGTGTGGAATAATAAAAGAATTCGATAATGCTCAATGCTGATACGCCCAAGAATAATCCAAGCAAACCGCCACATATGGCCAGAAAATCGGTTATTGAATATGTTTCGGTCCGTTTGTGAGTGACTATTTGATGGTCCCTAAATGAAGGCGAATAAATTTCAAATCAAAAACTTACAATAAATTGGGCGTATACAACTGTACCTGAATGAAATTTTCACAATTGATGGCAGCAGTCCGCTGTAACATGCACCAAATGAAAAACTTTAGTATTATATTTAAATCTGTATACAGAATTAATTTTAATAGAGATGGTTTGTGATTGTACACTGACAGAAAGCAGGAAGTATTCCAAACATGCGTTGTAAATTTTGTCAATGCAGATGATTTTGTAAATGGTCCAGTAGTTGGAATATTGAACGCATTCACGCACTTGTTCCAAATTCCAAATAGAGCTAGATAAACTTCAAAATCGTATGCATTAACAATTTACAACGTATGATTGGAATACTTCCTTCCTGCCTTCTGTCAGCGTATTATTTCCGATTGTGGTGTTTTCTTTTTGTATTCTTACCCCGACTGATGATTAGAGCTGTAAGAATTAAACACAGTTTGCCAATCAAATTTGGCTCTATCGATTTCAGCATCATAAAAAATTTGCGTGCATGCCGGCAAACAGTTACACTCCTCTCGGAATTTCTTAGCTTTTTTATCCTTGAGCCCATCGACTATATCTTGACCAAATAATTCCCTTTCAGCTATCTGATAGCACTTGAAGCTGCCAGCACCGCAGATTTTCTGTCCCTTACCTCCTAAGACACGGGAATATTATGCATTTTTAATAATTTTCCCATTTTTGCTTAAATCTAATTTTCTTTTTGTTTCAAATTACTTCAATCAAATCCAGAGATTCAAACAGCTAACTAATATTTTTTTATGAGTTCTTACTTGGCAATGAGAATTTCACGCAACCGCATTTTATGTATGTGTAATTCGAAAGGCATTCAGCTTCGCAATTATGCTGGGCATAAGACTTGAAGAAACGCAATTGTCGCTCCGAATTGAAGAAGCATTTCCGTTGACTCGGCTGATAACTTCGTAAATTGTCTGAAGTGTAGATCAATTTTGGAATGATTGATATTTCGGCTTGTTCTAAAAGTGGCACTCTGAAGGAATGTCGTGACATTTTCAGCACCTCACCGGGTGGAGTCAATATGATTTTGAATCCCTGGATTGGTCCTCTACATACGAATTCAATGTTCTCTTCGAATATATTCAAGCAAATAACTAAAGCAGCACCTTGTCTTGCGTTGAACACTCGAATCGGATAGCTTTTTTCATTCCAGACATCATCGTATCCATTTTCCAAATTCCAATGCGATATATTTGGATTGTCTTTTAAAATTAGCATCTCGGGAGCCATTCTAGAAACGGAATCATTTTCAATTTCTTCGCTTCGATGGGAATGACAAAAAAATCTTACTGATCTGTGTACATTTCATGCGAATTTAAAGCATTGAATGTAAAACACAGTCCTGCTTCTGTTAAAACTGGAGCAAAGAGCTTTGAGCAGTCATCGTATTCATATTGCCACATGCACTCGAGTAATGTATCATCAAACGATGGAGCCATATCTTGAATCACTTCATAGATCGATTCGTTGACAAATTTTGGTCCTAATGATACAAGGTCCGGAAAATTAAACTGACATATGTGAATTAAAGCTTCCATTCGAGTTAGTCTAAATGTGGTCAAATGAAGAAATTTAGGTGAGCTTTTAAGAAATTAATGTATGGCTCTTAGAAAGGAATAAAATTGTTTATTACTCAATGTCTGTAAAATTTGTCTCCTTTTGCATAAGCAATCCATACGCTACAGACACATTTAGTTTACTTGTATAGGTTTTAGTTTCAGGGCATATGGTAACCTGATATATATTATAATAATAAGTTAGAAAAACAAATCCAGAAAGTAAGAGATGTTGGAATCTCACGGTAGGGAATGGAACAGAAGAAACTGGCATCTCTTTCTCAGTTAGACTCATTGTTACAATGTTATCACACCATTTCATCCAAATTTTATGTATAGACCAACCACACAAATACACAGATAAACCGAATGCCAAAGTCCAGAAAATCCTGCGAGAAGAAGATTTGATGGTAGTTTCACTCTAATCAAACGAATTATTTATCAATAAGTGCATTGGTGGAGATACTATCAACTACATCTAGGAAAAACTAAAACGTAAAATTCCAAGCCATACCTTTCACTCCAATGTCGTTTACGTTCCGAAAAATATTGCACTCCGTGGATGCTACTTTTTGAGCAAAACTCTTTGAATACTTCGGTTATGGCCTGGAAACATTTCATTCAAATTCATCATTACGTTTATCATTTGAATGTTAAACAATCACTTACCTCAGATTGAGTCTCATGTTTATGTTCTACTGGAAAACGGTTTGGTAGCTTCATCTTCAAGTTTTTCAAAGTGTGAAATTCCAAAACTTTCGGAAAATCCTTTTCTATTGATTCAAGGAAGTTTCTTCAAAAATCATAAGGCTTCAACTACAGTGCATTTGAACGAAAAATACGAATAGAAAATAAATTATCGTCCGTTTTTATAAGCCATATTCTCAAATTAGTTGATTGATTTTACCTTTGTTATTGGCAATTTTTTTCAAATTAATTTTTCTAATTTTTTTTATGGACTTTATCATTTTTTACTTTTCCGTACACGACGTGTCAAGGGGAAGTATAGGAATTGGTCCCGAAAACTTTTTTCGCAAAATTAGCTTAGATCATCATAAAAACTCATGAAACACGTAGAAAACCACTTTTTGAGACACTTTTCGGTTCGTGTGCCGTCGTTGTCGTCGTCGTTGTCGTTGTCGTAGCTGTTTGTAAACACGATAACTCAAAAAATAATTGAGATAATCCAAATCTGAAAGTCCCAAAAGTGTTGTATCCAATAAACTTAGTTTAAGTTCGAAGATGAGCCATTTTCAATTTGACCCTGGGGTACTTGCCCTAAGAAAAACCTCAAAAAATTGACATTTTTGTATGGGAGGTACCTGTAAATCGACTCCGATTGGCTTCAAACTTTCTGGGATTTCATTCTTCGAGAGAAAAATAAGATTCTGAAATTTTGGAACCAACCGGATTAGATTTACGGGTACCTCCCATACAAATTTTTTGAAATTTTGTCTAAAATACCGATTTTTGGACAATTTTGCATGGGAGGTACCCGCTAATCGATTCTGATTGGCTTCAAACTTTCTGAGGTTTCATTTTTTCGAGAAAAATAAGATTCTGAAAGTTTCATGTTGATCGTTTGCAGAAGTTTGGTTTTTGGCCCCCAATTTTTTCCAAGAAAATTCCGACCAAAATTGAGGACAAAAAATCAAACTTCTGCAAATGCCATCAACATGAAACTTTCAGAATCTTATTTTTTCTCCAAAAAATGAAACCTCAGAAAGTTTAAAGTCAATAAGAATCGGTTTATGGGTACCTCTCATACAAAATTGTCGAAGTTTTAGTTAAAGTGACCGATTTTTCACTTTATTTTTATTATTATATTTTCACTGCCTTTATTTCAGTGATGGAATGGCATACGCCACCGTAGTCCATTCACTGGCTTATGCAGAATGTAAGCGTAAGCCAAGCATAAGCAATGAATGCGTTTAAATACGTTTGACGTCATTTGACAGCTGGATAATTTGTGTTGGCTTACGCCAGCTTATGCAAAAGTGGACAATTGTCCAGCCTATCTAACAACACTGCTTCATTTCAAAAAAATTCACAAAAAATAACCAAAAGTACCTACGGATAACGCAGGCCAACGGTACGGAAAAGTTCGGGATTACCAATTTAATTCTTTTTATTTTTTTTTTTTTCAAATTATAGATGTTGACTTTTAATTCTTCATTTGAAATTTAGTGGCAAAAACAATTCAAAAGTGATAAAAATCATTGGCTCTTTGTTTTAGTGCTTTGATGATTCAGACTGATAAAATGAATTAAAATCTAGAAAAAATCCAAAGGTGAATAATTTCAATCAAACTGAGAAGCGATGCACCAAAGAAGAGTCCGATAATGCTGCCGATTGTGATGATCATGTCAAGGTTTGTAATGCGCGCTGAACGAGTCAATTGTTTCGGCTGGCTGTTTATTCCAATGGTCACTGATGTAATGCCCCATGTTTGATCACTTTCGTTAACAGATTTATAGCCGATGGCTTTTTTCTCAGAATTATATCTGTGGATCAAATCGATGTTTAGATTGAAATTTCATTTATTTTGATGATCTATTCATAATTAATTTCAACTGCTTCCATGGTTTTACTCAATCTTCATACCCGACAAAGCCAACATGCATTTCTGTACATGTGGAAAGGCATGGATTCATATTCCAAAGATGGTCTTCCACTAGATATCTGTTGTACCGTTGTTCAATACAGCTTATCTGTGTGTAATTACAATACCGGTTTTTGTCTATTGAATGGAAACAAAAGGATCAAAAATAAATTCGGAATTCGAATTCATCATTATCTAAAGTAAGGTCATTACATTCGACTGGTGCAAAGGGCAGCGTACAATTGCAGAGTTTCAATTCCATTTGAACTCGAGAATGAATCATGCACGAGGCAATGCCATAAGGCAAAGATGAATACAGGGGCCAACGCTCGTTTGAAAATTGACACTTTCGCTCCATAATCGATAAGTCACGTACATCATCATCATTCTCTACCTGGGTTGTCTGAAGATGAAAAAAACAACACAAAATGTATTAAATCCTAGTGAGACGTTATAAATTCAAATATTTTTGAAACAGAGTTACGCGCAACATGAATTTAAGATCATTATTAACATATAGACCCCTCATCCAACCGGTATAATCGCTCGGTAATTCATCTGGACTATGAAAATAAATCTGAAGTGTAGAAATATTGAAATGGAGTGAGAAAAACAATAGAAAGTCAATCCAAACAAAATTTCTGGCTCACATAAAATTCAAATCCTCTTTTGTAATTAAGGTCAAAAGAAAACTGGCTGCCTCCTTGATTTTTATTGTAAGTTAGTGGTAATTTATCCCAATTTGAATTACTGGAAGTGTAGAGAATGAAATGGACAATTGGAACTTTAAGAGTTGTCATGAATTTGCAAAGGGATAGACACTATTAGAAAACTAGTGAAATATTAGTAAAATTAGCAAAAAAATATGAAATATTAGAGGAAATACAGCTGCCCATTTGAAATATATTGGTTCAATGCATTTCAAATGGAGATTTTTACCTCCATAAGGAATGTATTGAAACAATGTAAATCAAATGGCAATTTTATTTTTGCTGATTTTTGAATATTTGTAAACAAATTCTACATCTAAAATACATTGTTCCTATGTAATTCTTATGCGAGAGCATTTCCCATAAGGAATACACAGCACCGTACACTTCTTATGCACAAAGTACCGTTAATCTACAGCGGCGCTCTTCCATAAGTAATGTACAGTGCTGTGTATTCCTTATGGGCAACGCTCTCGCATAAGAATTACATAGGAACAATGTATTTCAGATGTAGAATTTGTTTACAAACACTCAAAAATCACCAAAAATAAAATTGCCATTTGATTTACATTGTTTCAATACATTTCTTATGGAGGTACAAATCTCTATTTAAAATGCATTAGACAGTGTGTTTCTTACGGAAAATAGTAAACTAGAAAAAATTAGCGAAATTAGCACGAAAATAGAATATTAGCATTGGTGTCCATCCCTTTGTGAATTTGTCTTTCATACTTACTAGAAATAAGCAGAGTTAACCATGAAACATACGCCCGCATTGTAAATTATTTGTCGCTTGAATACATCGTTACAATCGTGATACCGTTTGCCATCGAACTGAATATTGTCGAACAATTCATTGCAATACGGGAATAACTGAAATTCAAAGATGAAGAGATAAAATTGAAAGAAAACATTCGTAATAGATGAAAGAGAATGAATACAAACCAGTTGCTTTAGAGCTTCGACATCCACACCGCAAGTACTGTTGGTTTCTTGGCATGCATCCAGTTTGTAGCCCCTACGTGAATGACCTGCATATGCGTAGCCCATAAGTATATAGTAGAAGGCTTTGCTGAAAATATATATAAAAGATAGTTTTTCTATTCGATAATAAAATCAGCAATCGACCTACTGTTGCGGCACTTCGATGTTGTGTTCTGCGTAATATTTCTCAACAAATTGTTCGATCCGCTCGGTACTTACTCTTCTACGTTCAGGATCAAACCTTTTATTACAAACAGACACAGCTGGAAAAACAGTGTTCCCTTTTGAGATAATTGGATCTACTCTGATAACAACCGGATCATCGGCGTAGTCATTTAATGTATACAGAAATACTACAGTCATTGCAGTGACAGATCCAATCAAGACACAAATCCAATAAGTGCTACAATTACAAAAAGAAAACTCAAGTCCACTATAACTGTGTCGACAATAACTCAAACTATTCAAGTTCCATTTACCGATCAATCAGTCCATATCGACGATCCAAATATTGAACACCATGTAGACCACTGCTGTTTACAAAGTGATAGAATCGGTTTGTGAATCTAGTTATCATGATCATATACCGAGTAGAACTGCTTGACGATCTTTTGCAATTAGCAATCATTTTGAATCGAAAGAGTTTTAGAGCGCATAGCTTTCTCTTACAAAAAAGCTTTTGATACAAAGGTTCTGTGGCGAAATAAATGAATTCAGCGATGCTTATGAAACTGAATCCAAGAAATAG